CCCTTCATGACCGAGGATCCCCTGTTAGACTTGTTCACCGCTAAAGACGCTTTTAATGCGAAAACATGCTCTTCAGGACCGTGACTGTAAATTATTGGTGAATCAGTTACCAGTCATACATTACGCCCAGCATGCGGCCCATAACGATTGATTCGTTTAGTACAACTGGCATAAAATTGACATCGAATTCTCATGCTGACTATCAGTTACGGTAACTCTCGTGGATTCACTGATTTCTCCGATTCGTCCCGTTGGTCGACCCGTGGTCAGAAGTATTACTTTTCCTTATCACTGCAGAAAGATTAGCTGTTTTTTTCATTCCGGCTTAATTTTGACATTAATGAATTGTAAACACCTGTCAAGATATTGGTCGTATCACAGTGCTGCCATTTTCACGAAGAACTCTGTTCCGTGCAACTATCTCATGTTTGAGATCATTCTCAGATTTCATGAGCGGCAACAAACAAGGGACCTCGGTCATGAAGGGTACCCGTGAAACTTTTCCTGGACGGAGCAGCGGGATATGGACTCCCAGGAGGTGTACGTCGGACGCTAGTTTCAATCCATGTCTCTTCAGAATCACGTAAACCAGCATGTCTGGTTCTCAGAGTCTTTCGCGGGCAACTTGGCTTATGGGGCCGAATCATGAAAAATCCAATATGAACCACCACGACGTTGTTCGAAAACTCGGCGGTCTGTTCCGCAGTAGCGACACTCTCAAGGAATCTGCACCCAAGTGACCCAACCATGGAAAGTGGACAGCTGTCTAAGGCTGATGCCATTACTGAAGGCCTTCTTGGCCCAGGCACCGTGAGAGATGGCTTTACCTTTTTGTGATCGTGGTGACAGAGGTGTTGTGCGTTGTCTTGAACGAACATCTTATGGTTGGGAATATTTCACCACGGGTCGCCATCCACTGTGAAGGTGATTTTGATGATGCTTCACACAATGGAAGGTCTTTTTATTGGCCCTCCCCCCTCCACTGTGCTCTCATACATCAAACGAGTGATTTGGTTTACGTGCTCTCCAACAATAAAATGAGTATTATTGGCCGGTGTACACATCGATTCGACTCGATTTTATATTCACAGATTATTCTGCTCTTCACAAAACGACCGTGGACAATTATTTATGAGGATGGTCGTCCGGAATCTAATCTGCAGGCAGCACAGCAAACATGGTGGGCTAGCAGCGCGTTCATCGGTGTGAAATTCCTCTGCTGGTTTCTCAGAGCAAATTCCACGAGGTGGAGGAGCCGAACAACGAGTTCATGACATGCAAGAGTAAGGTCGCGCAGAAGTTACCTGGAAATCCAGGGTTAAATATCACGTCTGTGCTAGCCTGGAGCGGCAGTGCGACATTTACGGACGATTCTCTCATATGCAGCCTTCTGAGAACAGTGTCTCTCTCCTCTCGTCCTGCAGTTTAGACTGCATCACTATGATCTACAGCTATTACTCATGAGTTGAGGCGGAGGTGGTGAAGTGGCTAGTAGTACCGCGGAGTCCGCGGGTCTGATTCCGGGTCGGAACCACGCAGGCCAACCAAGCCTTCAATCCTCGGAGCAAGGTAGACTGATGCAGTATTCGTCTGGGAGTACAAGAACACACCATAACCACGAGTACACCAAATGGTTCCCGCAATCCATTGTATATGCCACAGCGAATTCTGAAAAGCCGCTACATTATCCATGGAGTTAGAATGCGTGCCGCATCCCAAAAAGGAATTGGACAACGGCGAAGATTTCATCCTTCTCATGAGTTGACTGCGTCAGTCGAGCTGATCAAAAAGCATTGGGTCTCATGCACGTCAGTTCGACGATTTCTGGAGATATAAGATATCAGTGATCGAGGTGAACCTTCAGGTCACTTACCTCAATCGCATGAAGGATTCAAGCTTTGCTGAAGCGCAATATCAGCTATGTGTGTCGCGGTTAATGTAGGGGTTAAGAAGTGAAATGGAAAAGCATGTCGTCATCCAGGGATCACCTCATGAAAAAACAACAGGGCGACAATTTTGCCATATTGTACCAGTTTGATGACGTTAGCTCCAGCTATCAATCAACACCTGAGCGTTGCTAGCCCAGGGCACGCCATCGTTTAATAATCACAACGGGGGGTCGTATTTGCCTGCGAGGGAGGGGGGGGTCATAACTGGTCTGAGAAAATTTTTTTGATAGTTGATTTCTCTTGTTTTACGGATGCTATTAGTAGGAGGAGGGAGTATTTGGTCGTTGTTGGGAGGGAGAGGGGGTCGTACTTGTCCTTGAGAGGAATTTGCGGCGTTGGGGAAAAAACTTTACCCGGTTGTTGAGTTCCTCCACCCCTCCTCCCTAGTTAGCGGCACTCCCAAAGATTTATACAATTGCTATTTCCGATAGTTGAAAATAGTAGTTAGTTCCTGACGACCCCTCCCTCCCCTTCCCTCTTCTCGCTCGACAGCAAAATCTTGTGGGGAAAGCTAGAAATAATTCGGGAAATGCCGCAAGAAGTGGAAAAGTGGTAGGAAGTTGGGAAAAACTAGGAAAGCGGTAGGTAAGATGGGGAAGGGGTTGTATGAGGATGGAGTTAGGGGGGGGTCGTATTTTTCACGAATTGATCACAACGCGATGGCGTGCCCTGCGCTAGCCTACAATTCTTTTCCGTCCTCATTGCGCGTACTGCGTGGTATGAATTCATACAGTTTCAGTCAGTAACCGGCGAGAATTTCAATACTGATGGGAATCTCGAGAACTTCTGTGCCTTGTTCAAGGATGGAACGCTACTTTGCAGGTGAGTCAGACGGTTTACTATTGCTTCAATGTTGAAATTTTTCAGCAAGCGCTACTGCGCTTTTTTGTTTTTCTCTCTCTTTCTTGACGTCAATTTGCTTATCCCTGTGTTGCAGCGCGCCATCTCAGTGCCACGAATGAATAAACAAATATAAATAACTAAAAATATAGATGTCTTCATATTGTTGTGAATTGTGAATCGGAACGAAAATGGCCACTCGAAAGTTCAGGCTAGCAAATAGTCTACAACCGGGTGCTGTCAAGAAGATCAATTCATCAGCCATGGCTTTCAAACAGATGGAGAACATAGCCTTCTTTTTGTCCTTTGCTGAAAAACACGTCGCGAAATCGGAACTGTTTCAGGTTTAAGCAACCTCCAACTTCTCTATTCTTCTTTGGAAAATAATTGCTCTTATTTTTTTCAGACTGTTGACCTTTATGAAGCACAAGATCCAAATGCAGTATTGATTTGTCTATCTTCTCTTGCTCGAAAAAGCGAGAAGTTGTTTGGAAAGGCTGGTCTAGGCCCCAAGGTATGTAGTCCTTTCGTTATCGCCAAGGCACGCCATGGCGTTGTGATCATTTCCTGAAAAATACGACCTCCCTCTAATTCTGTCCTCAAATACGACCCCCTCCCCATGCTACCTACCACTTTCCTAGATTTTCCCAACTTCCTACCATTTTTTCCCGAAAAATTTCCAGTTTCAGCCCCAAGAGTTTTCCGTCGAGCGGGAGGGGGAGAGGTATATACCCCAATGTGAAACAAGAAAATCTCTAAACCTCCTACCAGTTTTTCTTTGAATTTCCTTCTGGTTTTTCCCCAAAATTTTGCTGTCGAGCGGTGGGGGGGGAGGAGGTCGTCAGGATTTAACTATCATTTTCAACTATCGCAAATAGTTGTTGTATATGGATAAAGAAATTTCCCTTGGCAGTCCGCTCTGCTCAACAATAGCTTAATTACGACGGCCCCCTCCCTCCCTCCCTCCCCCGTCGTGATCATCACAACGATGGCGTGCCCTGGTTATCGCAGAGGTACCCAAAAGCGAATGGAAGCCGTGATCAGGGCACGTCGTCGTCGGTCCCCCCCCCCCCTATATGGCGCACTTGAAAAAGGAAAAAAACTACCAGACAACCAATAACATTTTTCCTCGGTAGCGAAAGTGACCCTCCCCTCCCTCCAGCGAGCAGATACGACCCCCTTGCTTGGGATCCTCAGCTTACGGTCGTCGCTGGGCCGGCCAGGACACGTTTTAGCTTACGGCGTGTCCTGGCCGTCCAGCAGTCATAGTGCAGTTACAGGAGACATTTGGTTGTTTTCTTTCAGGAAGCAGAAGGAGAGAAGAGGGCTTGGACGGAAGAACAGCTAAAGGCAGGACAAAATGTCATCGGATTGCAGATGGGCAGCAACAAAGGTGCGACGGCTAGTGGCATCAACTTTGGCAACACTCGGCACATGTGAATCGTGCTCTCTTCTATTTTTTTGTTCACTTTTTATCCTGTTATGAGAAGATTCTTTTCTATGATTTTGCTTGAAGATATCCTAGCACTAAGTAACTCCATCACCCCACAGGCTTAGGTTTGATTAAGCGGATCTCATCGCTGCACTCCCCTAACGCACACATTGCTTTGAGAGTTGATTGTTAACCTTTTTCTTTTTAAAAGTAAATTGTGGTGCAGTACCAAATAGCATAATACTATCTCAAGTCAACTAACAAGGAAATTAACCGGGATCTCAGATAGCCCATGACGGAAAATCAGAGAGCAGTGATGAGATCACAGGCCCCTGTGCGGGAAATGAGTTTGCATGAGTCACCGGTGTAGAAGTGCACGCGATAGCCTTTAAAGTCTGCTCAGTGGTGCTTCTAGGTTATCGATTCGTGTTCATGAAGTTTTATCGTAATTTGAATAAATTTGATATCCTTTGCATGTGTGAGCAATTGGCATGACTCCTAGTGGTTTTGCAATGGATTTCACCCACCCTTGCCACAATCGTCTCTTGTTTCCGGTGAATAGGTGCATTTACTAGATTACATGTTTTTTTATTTTTTACTAGTTCTTGAACATTGACAGTCCTGGTTTCCACATCTAGGATTAGCCCAGCGCCAGCCTGCTCTCCACCAATGTGTGAGGTGGCAGGCGATCGCAATTAGTGGCGGACAGCCTGACGCCGCGCTAAGTCCCCCCTTTTCTTGAAACGCTCCGGAGGCTGTTCTTGTATCTGACTACACTACGTGTCTACACTCACTATCAGTGCGCTAATTGTAAGTGAAATGTTCCTGCGTACGTACGTTTTGGCGTAGCGCCATCGCTTTTCCACCAGTAGTTGTCACTATGGTACGGCAGCAATTGATGGAAGTGGCGCCGTGCCGAAGCGTACGTGCTAGGGACGCCCCCATCCGAAGCTCCGATAAGCCGTGATTTTTGACGCGGAAATGCTCTCATATGTCGGTAAATGATTGTATTCACTTAGGATGGAACTTGTGTGACAGGTTTTGTGAAGGCCCCGATTACTAAATTAGCGTTTACTCATATTTCGTGGCGGCTCAAAAACAGGGGAGCCTCAACTCAAACATAGCTCATGGCCGTGCCAAGACACCTGTTTTGGTCACAAAAAGAATGGCCGTGATGGTGCTCGGCAAGTCAGCCCACAGCTACAGTTTCAACCAATTTCATCGTCTACCAATGGCAGGTCTGAAGACAAACTGTACGTTCACCTCCGAGGACGGTCCCTGTCATGGGCAAGGCCAATTGGTCCGTAGCTGCAGAAGCGGTAGTGGTATCCGGGTGCAGTCTTCATACTCCGCTCGCGCCTCTATGTGCACTCTTGGTTGGATAACACGTTCCCGCAGCAAAACACGCATTCAGGAAGAGAACAGCCAGAGGTGAAAGAGCGCTGACAAGTAGAGCGTTCGGCTATGGTCAGGTGCTGGACCGCCCGTGCAGCAGCGCGGGTGAAGTGTGGAGATTGCTACTTCCGTGCATTTTCGGCGGGAGAAAACGGCACTGCAACTATAAGCCTAGTCACCTCAGACATAACTAGTACCAGTTCCACGGAGGTGAGTGCACAGTTTGCCTCTAAAACAGGCGCTAGGGGCTTTGGTTATAGACCCAGTAATCTTGCTCAGGAAGACGGACCACCCTGGATTCAATGATAGTCGAGTCTGTTGAGGCACCAATTTAAAGTGTATGTACTGCTATGACGTGCGTCAGCCGTAGTTAGTGAATCTTGAGCTGTGTCTTGGCTTCTGAAAAGTGACAATAGGCTCGAACTGTTCAAAACATCCCGAAACTGAGGCTTCTTCTTTTCTGACCCCTTGGAGGAGAAGCGGTGGGAACATTTGAAAACATTTCTTTCGTTCAGTGATGGCAAATTGGATAGTACCAAATCATTTTCTGTTCCAGCGCTAAGAGGAGCCGTTGACTGCGATCAGGACCATTACTAATCGCGTCCAGAATAACGCCGTAACAGAAAATGAAGCCAGGGGTCATCCCATGCACAGTTCACTTGTCAAGTCGGTTTGCCAGCCTTGCCAGGTTTGTGATCGCTTAAGGGTCACCGGAAATCCACACAAATTCACCTGGCAAGGATCAAACCTAGCAGTTTTTTTCTGCCGCTCTCTACCTTTTGACATCACCTTAGTGTTTTCAGTATTTCTAAGTTCGGATATAAGAATTTGGATCAGGGCACGTTCTGTCACGGGGAAAATTTCTGGGATATACGACTCCCCTCTTTATTTCGCCCTCTGCTACGATCCCACTCCCCCCTCCCTCCCCATCGTATTCCTCTCTTGCCATCTTTTCAAGCTTTCTACCACTTCTATCAAAATTCCCCCAAAATTTTTCACTTTTCACCAGAAATTCTGCCGTCGAACGGAGGGGGGGATCATAACACTGTTACAACGTAGGACGTGCCCTGACTCGGATGTAACAGTTTCTCACCTCGAGGGGCAAACCTATTCAGACCAGTAAGGCTGCCGTTCTTTTGAGATACGTAAGTTTAATGGTACCACATTTATTCGGTAGGATAAAGCTACAGACTAGCCTCGAATCTCGTTCTGTAGGTCAAATACGCATTCTTCAGCATTCCTTCATGGAAATGAATGGCGCGTTCTATGAAAGTGTTGATCAGACGCTCAAGACGAATTACCATGAAATCGGAGGCGGAGTGGTGTAGTGACAAGTGGCGCGCTTACCACTCGCGCGGCGCCGGGTTCAAATCCCGGGTCGACTCCCGCCCAGGCCAACCAAGCCTATACCTCCGGGGACGGTAAATTGGTACCAGATTCTTCTGCGAGGATGAGAACACTGACTTGTACATCGGCTCGAGAAACCCGAGGGTTTGCATTACAGGCGTTTCTGCTCCTGCGTGTTGACCATTTGTTGAAGTGAATAGTGAATTAAGAAATTCACTAATCAGAATTTACGTTGTTACTGCATTTATTAACCATTTTGCATAAACATTCACAAGCGTAATACACTAGACATTAAGACAGTTGACTAGGAAAGCTTGCACAACTCAAAGAGGTTCACTGAGATCAAGTGTAAGAGAATCGCATTTCGATGATGGAAGCCAGTGAAGATGGAAGCAGAGTTCCGTTCGATGCGATAAAAGCAAGCGGTCATGCCATAAGGAATGAACTTAGAAGTTTTGATTCCACTCCGCGAAAGGTCAGCGGTTCTACGACTTCAGAGTTCGTTTCCAGAACCACCTTCACGAAAAAGCTACCAATACAATACGTGGGGAAAAAGCAATCGTGTTTTCATCAATTATAGGCAACTAGGAGGTAGAAGCTAAAGTGACTAATCTGTTTGGAATTGATAATGAAAGCAGAAAGCAGTGGGGGTAGCCGCCAAGAAATATGTACAATAATCGGAAGATGAACTCCCGCTCTGGTTTCTTCTTGTCTGATTCAGCAATCGATTCTGCACGAAGTCTCCGTGTGACGATTGAGGTAGCTGCGTAGAGCGAAGCGACGGCCACATTTTTTAC